GATTTTTATTTACAATTTTCTTTATTTACAATATTAATATTTACAAGTTACCTCTTGAGAGAAAACCGTAGAACCTGTTTCCAAGCTGTGCTGAAATAATAACGTATCCTCAAAACAGTGGGTACCCACTTATCCAATTTTACACTTATTTCCCATATTGTAATGTGGATTCTAACGATACCCGATTGACCAAACAGAACACCCCAGTGAGTCTCTTTCAGTTTGTTCCGATGGTGACAACCGTGCTGGTTGTCTCCTTGGCGTGTCCAGCACCACTCTCCAGCACCCCTTTCCCACTTGGCTGGTCACCTGTTCCAGTCGAGTCTCCTAGTGTACCGTCGATTGACCAAACAGAACATCCCTGTGTGCCATTCTCTGATTGTTCTTGTCCGTGCTGGATGTCTCCTTGGCATTTCCAGCACTTCTCGGGTCCCCTTCCTGAGAACCACTTTCCCACTTGGCTGCTCACCTGTTCCAGTCAAGTCTCTCAGTGTCCGGTGAAGTTGCAAGCTATCTGAACACACTTAACAACGCCCCACATTCTGGCACCTGTATAGAGTTGCTGATTTGATTAAATTGATCTGTCTTATTGGAAAACAATATGGATATACAATTTCAATTAATATAAAAGTTTGATCCACCCAATCTGGAAGTCAAAGCCACTGTCCTTTTTATATTTTATGGTTTTTTGTTCCTTTTTCTCTCTTTTTGGGTTTTTTGTTTGGCTTTTTGTCTTTTTGTTTTTGTCTCCCTTGTTACCCCCCTTACTCGGTTAGCTAGGCCTCGTTCGGAGAGCGTACCAGGAAATTTTTTCAAGTTTTTTTAAAAAGCTATCACGGTACAACCGGAAGGCTTACACGTCCCGCTGAACCGCACCAGCGGTTTCTAGAATGGGCATGTAGCCCGGAGCTGTGTCTAGTGGGTTTGATCCCGTAGTCTTGATGTCGTATAAACACCCAGGAGCGCCATTAAAACACTATGCAACAGTCGCCTACTTAAATCACATATGAGGTTAAAGAAAAATAGGCCCTATAACAATTGGCTCAAGAGTCAGGGACACTATCTCTTGTGTTTTTCTACCTCAAACGGTCGGAGCCAATTCGTTTCACTTGCGACATGAGACTAAAACCTTTTGTTACAGCTTAGAGGCCACTACAAAGATACGCCCCGCTCTAGAAAATAAGAACGTCCCCATACTTAGGTCTCAAAATACCTAAAATAAGCGAACGCCGTTAAAAACAGGGTCGGAAAAATCCATATAGTTAGTTTTTATTAGACAGTGGAACTTTGATCCATTTCAGATGGATCAACCTAAGACTCTCCTTATCTCAGCATAACAATAAGAAACACACTCAAGAAATTTAAATTGGGTACTCACACACCGGCAAACTCTAGAGTTGGAGTAACTAAAATAACCAGCAACTCTAGCTTAAATGGGTAATCAAGTTTGACTCAAGAAATTTTAGATATGTCAGTTTTAACTCATGAAACAATTTTGGTTCTGGACTATTGGGAGACTTCGCTTGTCCCCGTTTCCACCGAAGGTTCACTCTGGTCCACTTCTAATTGATATCTTCTTTGCTCGCGATCGCTCTGCCTTCTGTTTCGAATAAGACAGCTCTACTCTCGTGTAAGAAACTTGTCGAGAGAAACTTGAGCATAACATGTCCAATTCGAATTTTTGAAAAATTTCGTTTCACCCTAAAATAAAACAAAAAAAACTAAATTACAAAAGGGGCCCTTCGGTTTAGTTACGCTAAGTGAACAAGCTGTATAGGGCCATACCAACGATATAAAAATGCATATATATCAGCAATGAAAACATAAATCAGCATTAAATGCATCGTCGTAATGTTAATTTATCTTAGCCGTCCTTCCTCTACATTAGCGCTTATGAAGTTGTCGATGAATTGAACTTTGCGTAGCGATCTGCACCCCCTTACACAAATTATAGAGCTCCTCAGGAGCGCAAAGCTTATTTTAGTTCTTATGTAGTTTATAGATTCTGGATAGCTTTCTTGTCGTTTTTTTTCACTTATTTTTTCGGCTAATCGCTGCATCTTCTGCGTGGCTGTTGGAGCAGCAGCACCGATGCATCCAAAAATTAGCGGGCAGAAGCTACTATGCCCTACGTTTAAAATTCTTTGCTGATATTTGGAGTTCTTCAGCGTTTCGTGGTATTTGTATGCATCCTTATGCAGTTTTCACGATGTTTTGGCATGGGGGTTGAAAACTTTCACATCAAAGAAAGCGCGGCTGAATCGTGAACCCTAGAGTCCGTTTGCTTTAATGTCAAGTCGTGCCTCATCTTCAGTTGTAGTTGAATTGTTGACAAAGCTTTCGCATTGCAACGGCTGAACTTTCGGCTCAATCTCGACGTCATGGCAAACCCCGTTCATGAGGTTGGCGATTGTGTCTCTAAATTCATTGTGTCTTATGTGTGTGCAACCACCCTTTGCACAGTGAAGCGCATGTGTCAAGTTAAAATTAGCACCACATGCATATGTGAGTGGGGTTTTGGTTGGTTCCCATCCGTATCTCTGAATTCTGATTTATTCAGGTTGAAGTTGTATCTGTGGTAAAGCATTGAGCCAGTTAGAGACTCCCTTTCCAGAGGTCAGGTCGATTGCGTATTTATATGTTTCATTTAAGGAGTTAATGAGGTTTGTTTTTTTTCGATTTATTAAATCAGTTTTCAATTTTTTGATTTTCGTACATATTTTTTCTTGCTGTGTTACTGCTGTAATAGGATCTTGATATTCCAGTACTAGTGATGTTTCCTTAGACCATTCTAGGTAGCTTTCATGATTGGATGGCAGCTTAAGTCCACGCATTTTAAGGGGTAAGGAAGATATCTCACGGAACTGCTGGCTTAAAGTGTCTTTACCGACTAGGTTAGGTAATAATTGTTCTTTGATAATATTTTCACATATTTCTAAATTTTCCATAGTGTTGCGCATTCTTCTGGCAATAAACAAAAGCTTTTCTTGAACTTCTTTAGTATAGCAGGCATAAACGTTTTGAGGGGAGGTTTTAGTGATTTTCGTTAGTTTTTTCAAAATTTTGATTTGCTCTATCTGTTGAAATTCGAAGATTTTTTTACATTCAGTATCTGTTCCTATAACTGAACCAAGCACTCGGGCTCCTGCCTTTATAGTGATTCCTGTATTTGCGAAGATTTTCCGAGCTTTACCGAGTTTTTCATCCTTGACAATGAGTTGGCATTTGGATGCCTTCACGTGGTAGCCAAAAAATTTACCCAGTGATACAATTTTATCGAGGACGGTTCGTAGATTGCTTAATTTACCGACTGCGTTTCCGTCGTCTGCGTACCATTTCTGGGTTACATTGTCTACTGATAAAAGTTTTATGAGGGGTATTATGGCTAGACCGTACATGGCCATTGCTAGTGGATCCCCCTGGGTCGTCCCTTCTCGAGAGTAGATTGTTCTTCTTCTGCTTCCTTTCAACAAGCGCATTTGCAGCGCTTTTCCTTCGTTATTTAGTCCATCCAGGTCTCCGTCTTGCCATTGCTTAAGTCGCCTTGCTATTGTTTTGGATAAAGATCCATCAATTTCGGACTTCGTTTTGCACAGTAATAAGTGTGGAAAAATCATTGCTGCGTGCATTGCGAAGGTATTTTTGTTGTTTCTATTAGGCTTCAAAGTTCTATTGAGGGTTGCAATGAAATTATAACCTTTTTTATTTTTTGACAAGATCATAAAGAACGGTTTCTACTGGATCACTTCGGTGTATATGTTCCTGGTGGTTTCTATGAGTTCTGGACAGGTGTTTGACCATGGGTTTTGTGTTGTTCTAGGTTCTATAGTGGAACACTCTCCTGAGTTTTGTGAGTGTGGGGCAGTAGAATGTTGAGGGTGCTTTTGGGGGATCGTGGTTGTAGCTAGGGTTGGGGGATTGCATTCATGCAATGCCGTTAGCTGAATGAAATTAGGAGGTGCAGCGATGCCAACTGAAATCGTCATAGTGATCACTGCTGCGGGCTAGGCCGCTGAATTTTACATGCATTTAGCCGGGGCATGTGAAGCACCAAACACCTCCGCCTCGCAAGCAATTTTTACAAATTAGGCAGTGTGTTTGAGTAGCCATTTTAGAAAGGGCGGCGGTGTCAAGTTAGCGAGAGAAATTATAGATTAAAGTTGCGAGAAAATTTGTAAAGAAATCATTACCGTAGAACGAGAAACGGATGCCATCACGGCAGAACATTTGAGGGGTTAGATTTAGGTTCAGGTTAGGTGAAACAATAAGCGTGTGGGTGTGTACGAATTTATTTATCAAATTAAAGAGCACATGATTATGAATATAAATTTCGCGGTTTACTTTGGAATTATTACAGTTCTGAATTGTTTTGGAGATGATCAGTGTCTTGGGCTGAAGATGTTAGTGACGGGGTTAATCAAGTTTCTTCACTGCTGTTCTAATTCTTGTGGATGCAGCCTGTTGTCATTGTATCCAGCAACTTTTGTTACTGTATTTAGGCGCTTTGGTCTGTATTGTAAAACTGTTTCAAACAGATCATGAAGCGTTGCGCCGCGGTAGGAGTGAATAGTTGATTATACGAGAGCTGGTTTGATATATTTGGTCCTTGAAGTCCCGATAACTAGTTTCTGTGAGAGAACTCAGGGATGCGTCCTGTCTGGAATCGCGGCATCAACCCGAAACACAGACAACTGGGGCGAGAAAGGAAGCTCTTTGGGGTTTTTTATGAATACTTTCACTTAGGGTTTAAAATTGCAGAGGCAAAGCGATGAAAAAAAAAGAAAAAAAAAGAAAGGAATGGTACAACCTGACGTCGATTTGGAGGTCGATTCACCAGCTCACTCCTTCTTGCGTCTAGTTACGCCAGGGAAACTTCACTCGCCTACGGCTGGGACGGCGAGATTTTTAAGATAACCAGAAGAGGAAAGCCCAACGCGCATATGATATGAGAACACACAAGCGGTAAATTTGAACAAAGAAAGACTATTTAATAGCCTAATTGTTGTGATAAACTTATTAAATAGTTTAAGAGATGGAATGGATCCTGAGGTGACAAATCGAAGGTAGCGGTGTCCCCACTAGACAAACCCTGGACAAAACTGGTGTGATCCGGCGACGAGTGATCCCAGTTTGGCGAACAGACCTCGGCTCTACAACTTGCGGAGGGCGTTGTTCCTGTACGGACACGCCCTTTTGCGTCTGGGGTGAAAGATGCCAGATACAGCACCTTGCGGCAACGTCAAATGTCCCCACAGCGGAATCGCAGCTTCCAGTGGAGTGCAGTGTGATGGGTTCAATAACTGGTTTCACATCAGCTGTGCTAGAACAACGAAAAGAAAACTCGCAAACATCCCTCAATTTTTCTGTACTAGTTGTCATCAACAGCCTTCTAACGGATTTTCAGGTTTATCAAAGATGATGACAAACATGACAGTTAAAGAGAAAGGCATTGACGACCAGAAAAAGGCTACCGAGGTGAAGGAACTAGTGGACCTGCCTAAGATTGATGTCTCAGCAAACTGTTTCCCTCCTGCCGATAAGTTTGGCGAAACAAATTTAAAACAGGTTGCCGCCGGAGTTGAAAATTTTTATGAAAAACTTCTTTTCATGAAAAGAAATCTATTTAATCTCTCTTCAGGAAATGCTGGAAAGCTGTTTATCAGGGAGGTCACGTTCTGGCTGAAACAGTTTAATTCTTTAAACCCAAATTACAATTCCATGGCCATGAAAGTTTTCATGGTGCTACCCGGATTACTGCTACAGAAACCCTTCCAGGCCTCCAAATGCAAAGATCACACTGAAGCACTTTCTCGGCGCTTAGAAATGTGGAAACGCAGAGATATGAAGGGTCTAGCGGATGAAGTTTATTATATTCAAAAACGACTAAATACCACACAACGCAACAACTCATCTGAAGACCAAGCTCGTGTCTTTGCCAAACTACTTCTTCTGGGGAAAGTCAAAAACGCATTGAAGCTATTAGAAAAAGATCCGAGCGTTGGTTGCCTTCCCTTCACAGAAACGGTTGAGAAGGAATTGAAGCAGTTTCACCCAACCATGGCAGTTCCCGACAGAACAGCACTTCTTTTTGGGCCAAAGGAAACCATTCCCGAAGTAGCATATAAGTCCATCACAGAAGATGTGGCAGCAAAAACTGCAGGAAGACTGAATGGATCCGCTGGTCCATCGGGATTAGATGCTGAAGTATTCAAGAGAATGCTTCGTTCAAAAAATTATGCCCAAGACGGAAAAATGCTGAGAGAAGAAATCTCTTTGATGTGCTTCAGGTTGTGCACCATGCACCACTGTCCCGGATTACTTGCACCTTTGACGTCTTGTCGTCTTTTAGCCCTTGATAAGATCCCTGGAGTGCGACCAATCGGGGTTGGGGAAGTTCTCCGTAGACTTCTAGGGAAATGTATTGTCGACGCATTCAAAGACCCGATCAAGAAAGCCGCAGGAAACCTGCAAACATGTGCCGGATTCGAAGCTGGTGCAGAAGCTGCTATTCATGCTATGAAAGAACTCTACGAGGAAGAGAACTCGGAAGCTGTGATAATGATCGACGCCTCAAATGCCTTCAACTCCATGAACAGAGCAGTGGCTCTAAACAACATACAAGTACTGTGCCCAACGATTGCCACGTATTTAATAAACACATACAGGCAGCCATCGCGCTTATTTGTGATAGGAGGTGGGGAATTAAAATCAAGTGAAGGAACCACGCAAGGAGATCCACTCGCGATGCCCTGGTTCTCTATCAACACCAGAAGGCTAACCAATGTACTTGCCGAACAAACTGAGGTGAAGCAAGCATGGCTGGCAGATGACGCCACCGGATGCGGAAGCATTGCGAACTTATGGAAGTGGTACGGGAAACTAATTGAAGAAGGAAGGAAAGACGGTTATTTTGTTAACTAACTGAAATGCTGGCTGGTAGTGAAATCGGAGAGTCTGAGTGAAAAGGCAAAAGTGATCTTTAATGGAACAATAAATGTCACTACGGCCGGCAAAAGGCACTTGGGTGCAGAACTTGGGCCTCAAGATTTCAAGACTGCTTACTGCAGAGATAAAATTGAAATATGGGCTAAGGAATTGAACGTGTTGAGTGGGTTCGCCGTTTCACAACCACATGCAGCATTCTCTGCGTTTAGCAAAGGATTTAAATCAAAATTTACATACTTCTTTCGGACTATACCTGAAATAGCTGATATGCTCGAACCAATAGAATGTTTTCTGGAGAACAAACTTGTTCCAGCGCTCTTCGGGTCTGAGTCCCCACTGGAGAACAAGAAAAGACAAATTATTGGGTTACCAGTAAGCAAAGGCGGTCTTGGTTTCGGAGCGCTAAAAGAAGAAGCAAGATTTCAAAATGAAAACTCAAAAATCTTCTCAAAGCCCCATAAGCAAGCCATCATTGACCAGCTTTCGGATACCACTCTCGAGTATAGCGGCGGAAGAAAAAAAAATAGCAACTCGGAAACGAGAAAGAGAGAAAAAATTAGAAGAAGCAGTTTCACAATCATTTACCACCGAAGAAAAAAAGAAGTGGAAACAAAACACAGACAAGGGAGCTAGTACCTGGCTAACCGCCCTACGTCTAAAAAGCCAAGGAATGAACCTCTCAAAAACCGAATTTCGGGACTCGCTGAGATTACGATACAATAGTCCCCTACAAAATATCCCCCGCAATTGCCCATGCGGAAAAGCTTTGTAACATTCGCCCAAATACTACACAGCGGCGGAGCGTAGAAAAAGTACCTATTAACGACTGGCAGGCATCAGTTACCTTAATCCTACTCGTTTTTCACCGTCTCGACCTTGCAGTTGATTTTCTGGTCTGTTTAGGGCTAAGTAAAAAGTTACTATTTTTAGGCCATCAGTCAAACGACTTTTGATCAGCTTTCGTTTACATGCGAACACAACCACATAGCTGAGTCTTATATCCTCAGACTACGTGATTGCTATTAAAAACACGACTCGAACAACCTATTTTAACATGTTTTTGTGTGACAGTTATATATTAAATCCATTGGAGATGGATTGACCCTTTCCTCTTTCTAGCTACTCATATTCCAAAATATCAAATAATACCGGTGTTAATTCAGACTTCTACGACATCCAAGTAGCTACAAAGTTAGTTTTATATAGTCCCTTCACATAAAACAGTCTCTGGGGGACCAAGCCTCCGCTCCCGCAATCTTCCTGAGATAACGTTCTTGTCTCTCCCAATTTGTGGCACGGGAGGGTTCCTAAGATATTCCTGAAGCTTCCTTCTCCACCAATTTCCACTGCTAAGAGTCTTATCGTGTGTTGTTGCCACGATAAGAGGCTTCGTGTTTTTCGTCTCTTGTGCGACCGTTTTTCACAATATTTTTCGTTGTTCTGCTTTTTCGTTCCTTTTCGTCAAAATGGCTCTTTTTTTATATTTCTGAGAAATATTCACTCTTCGATCGCAATTTTAAAAACAAAACTTCTAGAATATTCCTACCCTCCTTCGCAATACTTTTTCGTTAATAAGGCCTTTATTCGTTTTTTTTCGTGTCGCCGGAAGGTTGCGCTGTGCCATCTGGCAGAATGGCACACTTTTTCCGTTGACCATGCCCTGTGCTGTAAAAAAGGTGGTTTCATATCCGCGAGGCATGACAAACTTCGGAACCTTCTTGCAGGGTCGCTAACAAGGGTATGCAACAATGTTGAAGTCGAACCACAACTGACCAAAATTGATAACGAAGTATTCAGATTACAAACCACATCAAATGAAGATGACGCGAGGCTAGACATCAAAGCTAGCGACTTTTGGGAGACTGGACAGACTACGTTTTTTGACGTTCGGGTCACACATGTTAACGCTCCCTCACATGGCACCAAGGCTACAACTGAAATCTTCAAATCACAAGAAAACGAGAAAAAAAGTAAGTATCTGGAAAGAATTGTCGAGGTGGAGAACAGTTCCTTCACGCCGCTGGTCTTCGGCACTAACGGGGGAATGGGAAAAGAACGCAGCATTTTTCTCAAACAATTAGCTGTTAAACTTTCCCGGAACGAAGATGGCAACTCTTATTCAACCGGTGAATTCCCATAGGTTCCAATATTCATAGGTTCCAAAATAAAAAATCAGTCGCATAAGTTCCAAAATTTATCTGCTTGAATTCTGATTGGTTGAAATTTGAGCCAACAAATTTATGGACTGATTGTTTACTGTTCAACCAGCATAAACTCAAGCTGCAGAATAGTGACCGCCGCAGTCGCGCCAACGTGTTGCGATGTAACATTCGCCCGGAAGATACATATCGACGGATAACAAAACTAAGTCTTAAGACGACTGGCTAACGTCTAAACAGAGCTTTGCATGCTTTTCACCGTCTCTACCAAGCCAGTACTTTTCGGTGGTCTTTCTAACATCGGGTCGACAAAAACGTTACTGCTCTCCGGCTTCGACCAGAACGCTCAAATTAACTTAATTACATGCAAATAGTGAGCTCATGGCTGGGTCTCAGTATCCCCAGACCACGAGGTCACTCTTAAAAACAGGGTTACTACTTATTATATTACTATTGTTTTTGTTCAGTAGATAAAAATCATCATCTCCATCGAAGATGGATCAACCCTTTCCCCCCCAACTCCTAGCACCTCATCCTTGACAAAACTAATCCAAATATCAATTAACTTCAAGTCAGGACATGACAGGATGCTAAAAGTTTACGTGGCAGGATAAAAGTTTCAGTTCCTTTACCCTTCCGGATTGACGAAACCGCTAAATCAAGCTCGTTAATCTTGATTTCCTCCTATTCCGGAAGGCTGTCTCTTACCCTTCACCGTTGTTCGCAACGGCCTTGCAACTATTGTAGCAGCACAATAGTTGCAGCTCGGAACGTCCTCGGCTATTCTGTAGTTCGTTGTCGTTTTTAATCTCGATTTTCGTCCTGTTCGCTATCGCAGATAAAGTTGTTCTCTCTTTCTTCTCGTTTTTTAGCCAAAATGGCCCTTTCTGACGTTTCTCAGAAATATGACGTCATAATTC